CCATACTGTACTATGCGAGTTGCAAACCCCAAGTAATGTACCTCTGGTATTAGTCACTTTATTGAGTAATTATGTTCTTTGTTATAAAAGCTGTCTCTTTGACAAAACAGTATCATAGTTATATTATCTGATCGACAATGGAGATTATTGAATTGTGATATTGTATTATTTATACTCCTCTTGGTCATGTAACCTGTTGTTATGACAACACTTTTTTATGCAACAACCTATAATTTTAAACCCATTTTTAAGTATACAAATACTTATTATCTTTTCACCATCAGGTTTTCTTGCCCAAATTTTTTATGCACTTTTTTTAAAATTCTTCAATAATTCTAGGAATGAACCCTGAGCTAACAGACAAAATTGGCATCAATTTTCAGTTTTTAGCTTCATTGTTTACTTTGTCGAGCGGAGCTTATCATAGGAATGATTGTTCGTCGTCGTCCGTGTAAATCTTTTCCTTTTTCGAGTTTTTCTTGAAAAAACTACAAGCTTGAATGCTTTGATACTTGGTGTATATGTACCTTGGGTGGACCTCTCTTAGATTGTTCATTTCATGATGATATCTTTAATTCTCTAATGGTGGTGAATATTTTTGACTCCCGTATGCAAAGCACAAAAAGGGAGTCTTTGCAGTTAGTGTGTCTGTCTGTGTGTCTGTGTGTCTGTCTGTCTGTCTGTCTGTCTGTCTGTCTGTCTGTCTGTGTGTGTGTGTGTCTGTTCCATCGATATCTCAAGAACCAATGTTCGGATTTCAATGAAACTTGGTATATAGCTTGTCTGGGGCAATGTGCAGATTTGATTAGTTTTTGGTTGACATCCATGCATATTAATGAGCTCATCTGCATAATAATGTGTGAATTTTAAGCTAGTTCAGTTATATCTCAAAAAGCATTAAAACGATTTTTATGTAACTTGGTAAGAATGTTACTAATTATTGGCTGCTGCAATTCATTGTTGTATTTTACATTTTAATTAAAATTTAGCATTTTTTATGTAGTTTTTTATTATTTTTCTTTTAAGTTTATTATGCCCAATTGCATGAATACAACTAATAGGAATCGGTGAGTGGACTAATTTGCATAATGATGCACATGAGTATTCTATTTTTTATGACCAGCAATTTATGATGGTGTCGGCCATTTTGTTATTTCCAGTGTGTTGTACCATGGAGGTAGAAAACTTTTCTACCTCCATGG